GCCCCCCTCTGCTCGGTGCTGCAGCTGGGCAGCTGGGTAGCTATTCGACTGGACCGCTGGCCGGTCCTGCCTGCTGCGCACACATGTTGTCCTTTATGGCCCCTGCTAATCCTGGCCATCGATGTGTCTGGGCGTTTGGAGCTGGCAGGCGACAATCGAGCAAACAGCCAGATAAATGAGCAAACAAATGTGTCCTTAAACGCACCAAATTGGATCATAACAGCAAAATGTCGAAATCTGCACAAACAGCGCACTAATTAAGTCCTGCAGCGAGGCCCATTAATAGGACAAAGCCCACAAAAATCTGGCTAGCTGCGGCCCATCAAACGGGCGTCCCATAAAACTCCACAAACTGTCTGTCCATGACGTCAGAGACAGACGGCGGTGGGCTCAATCTCTGGCACAAAGCACTCGGCTGGTGTTGCGAGCTGGGAAATCTGTCAATAATAATGAAATCACGCAGAAATATTCATTTCGGGCATATTAGATTGCACAAGAGTGCCGACAACTGTCCCCCTCATAAAACACTGACGCCAGCCGCCAGTTGAGAAATAGATTTCTGATGGCAGAAATTTGAAATGTGGGGATATCTTTACGGTATTTCTAAAATCGAATAAATGAAGCTGAAAACTATTGAAACTGAAATAAAACAATTTAAACTGTAGAAACAATTCAATATCACTTAGGCAAAACACTGACGTCAGCTGCCACTTTTCGAGCCGATAACGTGGGCCTCTACACAGACGAGAGACCTCTCTAGTACCACTCGAAATTCAGAGTGTTAGTAAAAAAAAATAATTTCTACATAACTAAAAAGCTTAAAACAACGTTGAGTGCAAAAGGTCCGCAAACTGAAAAAATGAAAACTATACTAAGTAATTCTACAGAGCTTACATCATACAACGACTATATCATATAGATTGTTAGCTATGGAGAGTTATATAGAACAATAGGGAAATAGGTTTCCCTCCAGCCTATCAATAGCGATTTTACAAGTGTATAAAATCTATTTAGGAATTTTCTTAATCAAAATTGCGAGATATATTGAATACCTGATAAGCTGAGGAATTATCGTAGGCTAAAAGTAAAAAACTGTTCGACACATAATTGTTCTCTAATAAAAACTTTTAATGTATGCATTGATTTATTTCTTTGCGGATTTATTTCATTCAGGACATGTTATCACTAGCTCAATCGAATTAGTTTTAAGTTCTGCAATCCAAAAGTTAAAAACTATTCCCTATTATGAGACGCGTTCCGAATTCGATTCGATTTGGAAGGATGTTTTCTTCTATTTTTGATCATGATTGGATTTTTGGGTACAGCTTTAAAGGGGGGACTGAAGCCGTCTGAGAATCAAGTCTTCATTTTTGGCTACACAATGGAACAAATTCTTCTCTAAAGTTTACAATAAATCCTTTACAATCTCAGAAACTACTGCTTTATACGATTCTTGGTAGCTTGAACACAGATTAGAAATCAGGAATGTTTCAAGCCCTCTGCATAGTTTTGAACACAGTTTCGATATTTGCTTTCAACAATTCCAGATGTTAGGCAAATACAGTGGGGCATAAAACACACAGATTTCAAATACCAAATCGTTTCCACATCATGTATGTGGTTTGTTTTCGGTGACGGTGATATCGGGGCCAATCTGTGAGTGTGTTTATAGGGGGCGTCATTGGAACTACCGAGAGCCAGCTAGCGTCAGGCAGTATGCAGTATAATGTTTCCCATGGGCATCCACTTATCGCCGGCGAGCACTCCGGCCCAGAGCCCAGTTCACTTTTAATTGCTCTGTTTGCTCAAATATTGTTTTCTTTGCATGCTCCGCGTCGTCGCCTGCTTCTTCTGGTTTATCGTAAAAAACACTTACGAGCATTTTTAACGTTTGGTGTTTTTGGGCTCTTATCGAGAAATTTGGCCCAATCGGCGCACTCGTTGCGTCGCCCTGGGAAGTGGGTCGTTGACAACGCCCACAATCACAGTCGCACACACAAACACACACACACACAGGCACACTCAGAACCTCCCCCACCATCATCATACACAATTGCAGGCGCCTAAAGAGCTGTCATTCCGAATGGGATTCCCTCTGTCAGTGCACTTTACATTGCAGTCCCTAATCTTGTGGCCAGCCCTGTTCCCCTGTTCCCCTGCTGCCCTGCTGTCCCGTTGCACTTGTCCGCTGCAGCTGCAGCTGTAGATGCAAGTGGAATTGCATTTTGTCTGCCAATTACAATTATTATCATCGCCTCTTCGTCTCATCGCTTGCGGTTCCAATTAACGCTTCCTACTGTCCATTATCTATTGCTTTCGGGGCGTTTTCCAATTCAATTGTACACTCAATATCTTAAGGCTTTCCCTTCGTTGAGTGCTCTGCAATAATTTGAGCAGCACATAGAAGGGAAAATGTATTTAACTTGTGCCTGATTCGTGTATCAACTAAAATGGATATTCTTTTATGATTTTTTCACCTTTCTAAGAGTAAGCGAAGCTTACAAATAGTAATAGTAAACTATATTAAAAATATCATATTCGAAAACTTGTTTTCAACTTGATTCGATTCGATTACTTATTTCGATTACATAGTTTCTTTTTTTGATATGTTAAGAATAAATGTTAAATTTAATAAATTAATGATTTTGAAAAGAATAAAAACATGTATTTATGAGTTGCCAAAAAAAAAACCCATATTTCCCTAATACTTATAAAAACAAAACCCAACTTTTGACCAATTCTTTCAACGTGAGCTATTATTGCAATGTTGGTATCCTTCCTTTAATAATCCTAAATTATAATTAGATTAAAAGTGAAAACCCACTTGCCACATAATCATTCTCTTACCAAAATATTAAATTTATATTTGCACAATTATTTGAAATACCAACGGCTTTGCTGGCGCCATCTAGAGTTCACGGCAAATAAATGCGTCGAGTACAATTTGCGAATGCGCTCGAAAGTATGCTCTACAACAATTGCCCAGCCTTACAGTATGTAATGTGTGCAAGCAAATGTGTGACTGCTAAGGCGCATTAGCAGCAGCACATAAAATTATGCAATACTTTTAAATTTAGGATCGATAACTGCACCAGGGTTGCCATCAGACGCAAAATTGCAATTGACAGCAAGTGCAATTGCAATTAGAGCACACCACAAACGGAACCACAAGAACATTGATTAACCACAATAACAAAAATAGCTATGGAAGTAACCCATATCAACACACACTTATCAAGCGAGGCATTAGGTAATCATGGCATTCATGAACTTCGCCGCATTCATTCGAGCGCAGCGCAGCGATGACGACGACATCGACGCGAAGCGAACGATTGGCGTTAATTGGCTTCTGTCTGGCGGTGTTAAGTGGCGCTCATGGAGGTGTCGAGGGTGGCAATGTGCTCGCCGTGTTCCCGCACTTTGGCTACAGTCACTTCAAGGTGGCGCTGCCGATATTAAGTGAACTGGCGCAACGGGGTCACCACTTGACCGTCATTTCGTATGTGAGAAATCCGCAGGCAGCGCAGCTGCCCAACTACGAGCAGCTGCTGATCTCCGATGAGGCCGAGGATCAATCGAATACGACCATCAATGTGGTGCCGCTGTCGGAGCACACGCCCACGCGTTCCTTGAAGGTGCTGCTGGAGGAGTACTATGAGCTGTACACCAATGGCCAGATATCCTGCGAGCGGCTTTACGAAAGTGGCCATGTGGAAACTGTCCTGCGGCGTCACCAGCAGAGGCCCTACGATGTTCTGCTCACCGAGTACTTCAGCACGGACTGCCAGCTGGGCATTGCCAAGCTGCTGCAGCTGCCCATCATTGGACTGAGCACCTGTGCCCTGATGCCCTACTATTACGATCGCATCGATCTGCCGGATACGCCCTCCTATGTGCAGTCCGAGTTTGTGGGCTTCACTCGACCTTTGAACTTCAGGGAGCGCCTACTGAACTTTGCCCAAGCCAAGCTGCTGAAGCTGATCTATAGGCTGCACACAAATCGCGCGGATAATGTGCTGATCAAGCGCCATCTCCAAATTGATGTGGATGTGGATGCCGTGGCACGTGCCCAAACAGCTTTCGTGCTGGGCAATCAACACTACTCGCATTTGGGCAGCCGCCCGCATAGCCGACAATTTCTGGAGGTGGGCGGCGTGCACATTACCAGCAAGGATGAGCAACAGCTGAGCCCGAGAATTGCCCAGTTCCTGGAGCAGTCCAAGCAGGGCGTCATCTTCATCAGCTGGGGCTCCATGGTGCGCGCTTCTAGCATTGATGCCGAGAAGCTGGAGGCCATTATCGATGTGCTGCTGAAGCAGCCATTGAATGTGATTTGGAAATGGGAGGCGACCGAACCGCCCAAGCCCCAACCGGATGCCAGCAAGTTTCTGTTTGTCAAATGGGCACCACAACTAGCTTTGCTTTGTAAGTACGGCTGGAGCATTCCGAAGATCGAAACTGATTCATGTTCTGCCCGTAGGTCAACCCCAAGTGCGTCTGTTTTGGGCGCATGCCGGCCTGCTGGGCCTCACCGAGGCGCTGCACTGCGGCAAGCCGCTGCTCATGACGCCCATCTACGGTGATCAGTTTGTCAATGCGCATGCGGCACAGGATCGCGGCGTGGGACTCAAGCTGGACTATGAGCACATCAATGTGGAAACGCTGCAGCAGTCGCTGCAGGAGCTGAGCCAGCCCAGGTACGTTTATTCAACTATTCTCCAGTGATATCCCAGCTCAACCCCAAACTTTCCACAGCTATGCTGAACGCGCCCTAAAGATCTCGCAGGTGTTTAATCAGCGCGAACGCACGCCGCTGGAGACGGCCGTTTGGAGCGTGGAGCACGTGATGCGACATGGCATGCTGGCCGCGGAGCTGTTGCAGTCACCAGGCATAGAGCTGAATTGGTTCGTCTACCACTCGCTGGACAGTTTGACTTTGATCTTTGCGGTGCTGCTGCTGCTGATCGCCAGCTGGCGAGCTCTGACCCGAACTCAACCAGAGTCCAGGCCGCACAGGTCCAGAAAAGCCAGAAAGTCTTAGTTCTTGTTTAAATTAACTTGTAAAACTGATTTTTGTTAATATAAACAAACATAAAAATTAACTAAGGTCTATACTCTAGTAACGTCCCCGCTGCATGCAGTCGCGTCGGCACTCCTCGTAGGTCAGGAAATTGTTATCCGTGGAGGCGCAGCCCGTATAATAGAAGCTCTCACAGTTGCCCGTCTCCTTGTTGTAGGCATAGCGCAGCTGTTTGCCACGGCACAGGCCCGGCGCCTTGGGCTGTTTGCAGGCTGTATCGGAAATATATACATTTTAGCTTCTGTTCTTCAGAGTAGGCTTCTTTATAACTCACCGATCAGCTGCTTGACGTGCTCCCGTGTCTGATTCTCCAGGTGCAGGCCCAAGTTTAGGGTTATATTCAGCAATAGGAGCAGCAGAAGCACACTCCAGCTTATCATCATCATGCTGAGTAGTTTTTGTTACGATCTTGTGCTTAGTTCATTCAAAAAAAAATATATTTCAATACAACTTCCGCTCCTCCCGTTGGCACAGCGAAATTCACTTCTCAAAAAGAATTTTTCAAAGATATATATATTTTTATGAGGTTTTCTGTGTTTGGTTTTTCTGCTCCGACTGTACAAACCGAACTATCGCCGCAGAATGTTCTCCGTAGAGTGCTGAAACTCTTGACTGATTTTTCTCAGCTTTCTCCGCTTTTGGATTTTTGCTTAAGTCTCGTTGCGCACGTAGCCGAGTTTTGTTTTGAATTATATTTGTCTTTTTTTTTCAGCTTCACTTAGTTTTTAAGAATTGCATTTAATTCTCATTGAGTTAAAACGTGAGTTTTGGTCAATTTACTAAGCGTCTCGAGTGCCCAAATGCAGGAAGCACACACTTTGGTTGAGCTAAGCCCAGAGGGGTTTACGTGCCCCAGAAGCTCCACCAATAACCAATTGAGTGAATGTGCAGCAAAAAAACCATTTCTTACATAAAGTGTAAATCTAAATCAAGCAACATTATTCCTGATCCAAAATTCGTGGGAAAATGGTACCCTCAAATATCCTATATAGACATAGGTCAAAACTTCCCACACCCATAACTTGGTCAAATATCATCCGATTTTCATAAGGTTTCGCGTTTTGTTCATGACTTGGACTCATTATTAATTCTACATCCAAATTTGGCAACTTTTATTTTGGTCAAAATTCATGTCAAAGTGGTACCCTCAAATATCCTATATGGACGTAGGTCAAAACTTCCCGCCCCCATATCTCGATCAAATCTCATCCTATTTTGATAAAGTTTGGCTCTTTGTTCATGGCCTGGCCTTTAGATAATTTTGGCGTCTAAATCTGGTAATTATATCAAAACTTAAAACAATATTATTTCAATCTAATAAGATTTACATCTTCTCTTGTGAAATTAGCACTTATATATTAACTTATATTAAATTAATTGCGAAAGAAATTTTCCATCACATAAGCTAACAAGCTCTTATCGTTTGGGATATGCACTGATCACCCATCAAACAGTTATGTATAGATATAAATATATATTTGTAATTACGTACTTACCTGCACCATTGTGCTTATTACCCTCATCTATCAGTAGGCGAAGGACGACATTTTTTATAAACACGCTGAAAGAACAGAAAAGCAGAGATTATGTTAATGTGACAATGTATAAAACAACCTGCATGCATACGACTGTATTAGTTGTAAATATAATAAGGCATAGTTATTATACATATATTTGTTAACATTACTTACCAGTTTTTTGAATAATCACATTAAAAACTGATGCCGCCTCCTCCATCACAGCCATCGCTTCCTTCTTAGACCGCCGTCTCCGCCTTTGCTTATGCTGCCAGCTTCTTCATAGTTGCAGCAGCCACATCCTCCAATATTAAAGCCGCCGCCTCCTCTATTGCTGAACCCTCCATATCCTCTATAGTTGAGCAGCCGCCTTCTTCATTGAAGTCGCCATTCTATATTTCATATCGTCTCCTTAAATACGTAAGACCGCGCCTCCTCTATTTCTGAAGTTTCAGTATCATCTATATTTGAAGCCGCCGTTTCCTTCAATATTAAAGTCGCCGCATCCTCCATCGCTGAAGCCGCCTCCTCCTGCATGGGTGAAGTAGCCGCCTCCTGCTCAGTTGAAGCCGCCTCCTGCATAGTTGAAGTCGCCTCCTGAATAGTTGAAGTCGCCGTCTGCTGCATAGTTGAAGCCGCCTCATGCATAGTTGAAGCCGCCACCTGCATAGTTGAAGTCGCCGTCTCCTGCACAGTTGAAGCCGCCTCCTGCATAGTTGAAGTCTCCCATGAGGCTTACTTGAGTTTATGAGAATCGAGTAGAGGGGACTTACGTAGAATACGTTTTTTTTTTAATTTGCAGTGCAGCTAGGACTTGAATACAAACATACAACATATATGCATACATTCATTTACATACATAATGCATACAAATACATATATACATACATATAAACATGTATACACACATGCATACACACATGCATACAAACATGCAAACATACATACAGACATTTATACAAACATAATTACATGCACGCATACATATTTGCATTCATAATACAAATATACGTACGCACATCTTCACAAACCAGCATTAATACACACATACATAAACACACAAAACTTTAGTTACGTACATATTTACATACATACACATACATGCACACGTACATGCATACATACATACGCACGTACGTACATACATACATGCGTACATACATACATACACACTCATACATACACACACACACACACCTACGTGCATACATACATATTTACATTGACATATACATACACACATATCCACCAATACATACATACATATTTACACACACATACATGCATATATACTTACATTCATACATACATTCATAGACACCTACATACATACATGCACACATAGACACGTACATACATACATACATAAACACCTACATACATACACACGTACATGCATACATACATACACACACCTATATGCATACATACATACATACTCATTTTTTGACTCATTATCAATTCTGCATCCAAATCTGGCAACATTATTTTTGGTCAAAATTCATGTCAAAATGGTACCCTCAAATATCCTATATAGACATAGGTCAAAACTTCCCACACCCATAACTTGGTCAAATATCATCCGTTTTTCATAAGGTTTGGCTTTTTGTTCATGTTTTGGACTCATTATCAATTCTGCATCCAAATCTGGCAACATTATTTTTGGTCAAAATTCATGTCAAAGTGGTACCCTCAAATATCCTATATAGACATAGCTCAAAATTTCCCACACCCATAACCTAGTCAAAAATCCTCCGATTTTCATAAGGTTTCGCTTTTTGTTCATGATTTTGACTCATTATCAACTCTGCATCCAAATCTGGAAACATTATTTTTGGTCAAAATTCATGTCGAAGTGGTACCCTCAAATAGCCTATATAGACATAGGTCAAAATTTCCCACACCCATAACTTGGTCAAATATCATCCGATTTTCATAAGGTTTCGCGTTTTGTTCATGATTTGGACTCATTATCAATTCTGCATCCAAATCTGGCAACATTATTTTTGGTCAAAATTCATGTCAAAATGGTTCCCTCAAATATCCTATATAGACATAGGTCAAAACTTCCCACACCCATAACTTGGTCAAATATCATCCGTTTTTCATAAGGTTTGGCTTTTTGTTCATGTTTTGGACTCATTATCAATTCTGCATCCAAATCTGGCAACATTATTTTTGGTCAAAATTCATGTCAAAGTGGTACCCTCAAATATCCTATATAGACATAGCTCAAAATTTCCCACACCCATAACCTAGTCAAAAATCCTCCGATTTTCATAAGGTTTCGCTTTTTGTTCATGATTTTGACTCATTATCAACTCTGCATCCAAATCTGGAAACATTATTTTTGGTCAAATTTCATGTCAAAGTGGTACCCTCAAATATCCTATATAGACATAGCTCAAAATTTCCCACACCCATAACCTAGTCAAAAATCCTCAGATTTTCATAAGGTTTCGCGTTTTGTTCATGATTTGGACTCATTATTAATTCTGCATCCAAATCTGGCAACATTATTTTTGGTCAAAATTCAAGTCAAAGTGGTACCCTCAAATATCCTATATAGACATAGGTCAAAACTTCCCACACCCATAACGGGGTCAAATATCCTCCGATTTTCATAAGGTTTCGCTTTTTGTTCATGATTTTGACTCATTATCAACTCTGCATCCAAATCTGGAAACATAATTTTTGGTCCAATTTCATGTCAAAGTGGTACCCTCAAATATCCTATATAGACACAGGTCAAAACTTCCCACACCCATAACTTGGTCAAATATCCTCCGATTTTCATAAGGTTTGGCTTTTTGTTTATGTTTTGGACTCATTATCAATTCTGCATCCAAATCTGGCAACATTATTTTTGCTCAAAATTCATGTCAAAATGGTACCCTCAAATATCCTATATAGACATAGGTCAAAACTTCCCACACCCATAACTTGGTCAAATATCATCCGATTTTCATAAGGTTTCGCTTTTTGTTCATGATTTGGACTCATTATCAATTCTGCATCCAAATCTGGCAACATTATTTTTGGTCAAAATTCATGTCAGAGTGGTACCCTCAAATATCCTATATAGACATAGGTCAAAACTTCCCACACCCATAAATTGGTCAAATATCATCCGATTTTCATAAGGTTTCGCTTTTTGTTCATGATTTGGACTCATTATTAATTCTGCATCCAAATCTGGCAACATTATTTTTGGTCAAAATTCAAGTCAAAGTGGTACCCTCAAATATCCTATATAGACATAGGTCAAAACTTCCCACACCCATAACGGGGTCAAATATCCTCCGATTTTCATAAGGTTTGGCTTTTTGTTCATGTTTTGGACTCATTATCAATTCTGCATCCAAATCTGGCAACATTATTTTTGGTCAAAATTCATGTCAAAGTGGTACCCTCAAATATCCTATATAGACATAGGTCAAAACTTCCCACACCCATAACTTGGTCAAATATCATCCGATTTTCATAAGTTTTCGCTTTTTGTTCATGATTTGGACTCATTATCAATTCTGCATCCAAATCTGGCAACATTATTTTTGGTCAAAATTCATGTCAAAGTGGTACCCTCAAATATCCTATATAGACATAGCTCAAAATTTCCCACACCCATAACCTAGTCAAAAATCCTCCGATTTTCATAAGGTTTCGCTTTTTGTTCATGATTTTGACTCATTATCAACTCTGCATCCAAATCTGGAAACATTATTTTTGGTCAAATTTCATGTCAAAGTGGTACCCTCAAATATCCTATATAGACATAGGTCAAAACTTCCCACACCCATAACTTGGTCAAATATCATCCGATTTTCATAGGGTTTGGCTTTTTGTTTATGTTTTGGACTCATTATCAATTCTGCATCCAAATCTGGCAACATTATTTTTGCTCAAAATTCATGTCAAAATGGTACCCTCAAATATCCTATATAGACATAGGTCAAAACTTCCCACACCCATAACTTGGTCAAAAATCCTCCGATTTTCATAAGGTTTCGCTTTTTGTTCATGATTTTGACTCATTATCAACTCTGCATCCAAATCTGGAAACATTATTTTTGGTCAAATTTCATGTCAAAGTGGTACCCTCAAATATCCTATATAGACATAGGTCAAAACTTCCCACACCCATAACTTGGTCAAATATCATCCGATTTTCATAGGGTTTGGCTTTTTGTTTATGTTTTGGACTCATTATCAATTCTGCATCCAAATCTGGCAACATTATTTTTGCTCAAAATTCATGTCAAAATGGTACCCTCAAATATCCTATATAGACATAGGTCAAAACTTCCCACACCCATAACTTGGTCAAAAATCCTCCGATTTTCATAAGGTTTGGCTTTTTGTTCATGTTTTGTACTCATTATCAATTCTGCATCCAAATCTGGCAACATTATTTTTGGTCAAAATTCAAGTCAAAGTGGTACCCTCAAATATCCTATATAGACATAGGTCAAAACTTCCCACACCCATAACGGGGTCAAATATCCTCCGATTTTCATAAGGTTTCGCTTTTTGTTCATGATTTTGACTCATTATCAACTCTGCATCCAAATCTGGAAACATAATTTTTGGTCAAATTTCATGTCAAAGTGGTACCCTCAAATATCCTATATAGACATAGGTCAAAACTTCCCACACCCATAACTTGGTCAAATATCCTCCGATTTTCATAAGGTTTGGCTTTTTGTTTATGTTTTGGACTCATTATCAATTCTGCATCCAAATCTGGCAACATTATTTTTGCTCAAAATTCATGTCAAAATGGTACCCTCAAATATCCTATATAGACATAGGTCAAAACTTCCCACACCCATAACTTGGTCAAATATCATCCGATTTTCATAAGGTTTCGCTTTTTGTTCATGATTTGGACTCATTATCAATTCTGCATCCAAATCTGGCAACATTATTTTTGGTCAAAATTCATGTCAAAGTGGTACCCTCAAATATCCTATATAGACATAGGTCAAAACTTCCCACACCCATAACTTGGTCAAATATCATCCGATTTTCATAAGGTTTCGCTTTTTGTTCATGATTTGGACTCATTATTAATTCTGCATCCAAATCTGGCAACATTATTTTTGGTCAAAATTCAAGTCAAAGTGGTACCCTCAAATATCCTATATAGACATAGGTCAAAACTTCCCACACCCATAACGGGGTCAAATATCCTCCGATTTTCATAAGGTTTGGCTTTTTGTTCATGTTTTGGACTCATTATCAATTCTGCATCCAAATCTGGCAACATTATTTTTGGTCAAAATTCATGTCAAAGTGGTACCCTCAAATATCCTATATAGACATAGGTCAAAACTTCCCACACCCATAACTTGGTCAAATATCATCCGATTTTCATAAGTTTTCGCTTTTTGTTCATGATTTGGACTCATTATCAATTCTGCATCCAAATCTGGCAACATTATTTTTGGTCAAAATTCATGTCAAAGTGGTACCCTCAAATATCCTATATAGACATAGCTCAAAATTTCCCACACCCATAACCTAGTCAAAAATCCTCCGATTTTCATAAGGTTTCGCTTTTTGTTCATGATTTTGACTCATTATCAACTCTGCATCCAAATCTGGAAACATTATTTTTGGTCAAATTTCATGTCAAAGTGGTACCCTCAAATATCCTATATAGACATAGGTCAAAACTTCCCACACCCATAACTTGGTCAAATATCATCCGATTTTCATAGGGTTTGGCTTTTTGTTTATGTTTTGGACTCATTATCAATTCT